TCTCTCTATCTCTCTATCGCTCTCTCATTCTTCAGTATTCTCGAGCGTGAACGCGAAGAGCGTTCAGACGCGGGACACAACACACGAGAAACGCAGAAGCTGCCGAGAGCTCCTCACGTCCTCACGTATCTCGGCCTTTCTATTTCGAGACCGTTAATTGCACTGTGTGCGCACGCCACGCGCGTTGCACCTTTGTTCAAAATGGAATGTTGGAGAAAAAAGATACGGACGAAAAATTTTGACCAAAAATAAGTGCGAAGCGAATTCGTACGCGTATACGGATCACATTTTCTTGTTCTTTTGATATTCAGGATGAGAAATGTCTATTTGGTCTTTAAATAAAAAAGGAACGCGGACCGTTCTAAGTATAACAAGCGGATTGCCATTTTATCGATTGAGATAATACAAAAAACAAAGATCTTTGTGGAAATGTGAATAAATATCATTGGTGCGTGCAAGATGACGTCACAGGAAAATATTAGATATTTTTATTACGTAGGCTATCTTGATAATTTCATGCATTATGCTTAACCGATGCTAGCCGATGTCAGCTGTAGTCATGCACGATGTCAGCCGATTTCTGATTATTTAATAGAAGAGTAGTTCCGAAGCTTTCGAGTTTCTCTTTCTTATTTTTCGCTACGTAAAATCACATCAATTACAAAAATGGCAAGTGAAGATTAAATTTTATATAAGAGATCGATAATTCTTTCAGAATTCTTTTAATTCCCGCAGAACAAATATAGATTAATTTAAATTATATCTAACCTAAATTATATTCGCCGTGATAAAAAAGAAAATAGTGAAAGTAACTTAAAGTTTTCTAAATTATAGCTGCATTTATATTTTAATAATTTTCTATGTTTCTAATTTCGCGTCTATTTGACAACTGCTTTAGGTGGAAATCGAGTCGATGACGAGATATGTCTCACCGGTGAACCCAGCTGTCTTTCCACTACTAGCCGTGGTGCTGTTGGGAATTGGAGTATTCTTTACAGCTTGGTTCTTCGTATACGAAGTCACCAGTACCAAATTCACGCGAGACATCTTCAAGGAAGCGCTAATTTCTTTGGTCGCAGCATTATTCTCCAGTTTTGGAGTATTATTTTTGCTGCTTTGGGTCGGAATATATGTATAGATAACATTGAGCTGTTAAAATTTTTCAACAAAATATTCATAATTTTAAAAAAAAAAATTATATATATATATATATATATATATATTATAAAATTATATATCAAAGTTGTCATTTGTTCCACTTTAAAATATATCTAAAAATAGATAATAGTATAGCCAAATAAGTTTAAAGAGAAAAAGAGAAAGATTCCAAGATTCTTATAACATTTTATTATTACTACAATCAAGTATACAACTCTGAATGTTCTTTATGTCGTGCATAAGTTTATTGAATCTTTATCACAATGAAGGCATGAAGTTTGTTATACAGGTACACGAGTTTTGTTGCACCTTGAAAAAGTAAAAGCTGGCACTCATTTTCTGTGAACACAGACTACAGCGTGATTAGTCTAATCATGCAATAATATTGTAATGATAACATACATAGTTTTATGTGGAAAGGATTATCATCTATTCCCATTTAAACATGCTATAATTATTATATCTGCATTAAACCTATACATTTCATTAAAGATTTCTTTTTTTTATGTAAAACACAGTTTTCCTTTTATCACACTATAAGGAAAAGATGACATTTATTGTCAATAAAATAATCCTCTGTGCTCTTCAGTATAGATATAAATTATATACGTTCCATTTTTACTGCATAGTACATATTTTACAACAAAATGGAATATTGCAGCTTTAGAACAAAATGCACGCGAAATATTTTATTTTTAACCAGCCAGACCGGCTTTCTGTCGACATCTTTGCATTAGCGCTCTCAACATAAATTGTCTACGCGACAGTTGTCGAACTTGTTTCAAGAACGCATCTAGATCTAAGATGCCAGATCGCAGTCCCTCTGCGAGATAATAAATAGCGTCTTCTGTAGCTGCTTCTTCAGCAAAAGCATTTAGCATCCTGGAAATCAAGTGATTTATTTATTACAATTTTATTTATTGCAATTTGTCTTGCAATTTCAATTTATAATAACTTTCAATTATCATTGCATCAATTCACATTAAATAAACTTATATTCATATGCTTACTGTTTATACAACGGTGCTATGGTAGTAACAGCTTCATCAACATCTATCGATTGATTATCAGATAGCTTGGCGATCTCTTTTTCTAATTCTGCCTCTTTATCTTGCAAAATATTCACATTCTTTTCGAGCTCCTGTTTTTCTTTCTTAAGTTTGTCAAAAAGATCTGCCAAGTGAGACGAACCGCTCGTTAATTCTTGTTGCGTTCGTCGCAGCGTCTCAAGCTCGGCTTGCAACTGTGAAAACTGCTCCTTCAGTCGGCGTCGAAGCTTATCCTCTACAGCAGATAGCAAGGAGGCCCTTATATGCTCTTCCGTGATTGTACCAGACCCGCCAGAATTTGGTTGCACTGTTGGTGACTTGCAAATAATCACATTTATTTAATCTTTCTGATCTTTTTTTTAAACAAAAAATCAAATCATTACTAATTATCTTAATAACAATAATTACAGATATCAATTACAATTATAAAACATTGATATTAGTTATAAAATGGTCCATTTTAACTAAAAAACAAATAGCAATGCTTGTATACCGGTTGCGTGGCTGGTGGATACGATGGATAAGAACCACTATAACCTTGTGTTGGATAACTGGGAGTAGTTCCAGCATAAGAACCATAAGAAGTTGGATATGGGAATCCCCCAGATGCTGCAGGTGGATATGGTGGATATACGTTACTGCCACCAGAGTATTGAGAAGTTGGTGGATATGGAGGAAAACCAGAACTTGACATGCTTCCACTACCAGGTACTGGCATGAATGCTATGTGACAAATTTTTGATTATAGAATATTAATTTATAATAGGAAATTTAAAAGTTTATTTTAAAATTAAGTAAAACATACATTGGACAGGGTATGGTGTTGAACTCTGTTGCATTTCTGATCTTGTCTTGGCATAAACTGGAGGCTGTTCTCCAAAAGTAACAATCATAACTTGAATTAGAGCAAGCAAATCTGAATTGTGCTATAACATAAAGAAAATAGAACAAAATATGAGACAATTGTATAATTAATTTTTTAAAATAATTAGTAGCTAGTCTACTTACAGGCACCCAGTCATGAAGATACGGTAAATAGATTTTACCATTGTGATCTACAAACATACTGACTTTGATATGCATATCTACCGTTGGTTTAACATAGCACATAGGTGCATTGTTAGGATGAGTATCCATCAACCATATGCAAATTGGAATATTGTAACAAGAGCCTTTAAATTAAACAAACAAGTGAGAAACAATATTTAGTTTTATTACATAATTAACATTTATATTAAATTTACTAAGTAAAAACAAATTACCTTTATAAACAACAGGTATAGTTCCTTGCAAATTGAGTAGCTCTTTGCGTGAGCCATCGTTGAAAACTGATATCAAATAAAAATTAGTTCAATAAACTTGAGAAACGAGGAGAAATAATAATATTCAAGATTATTCATAAATACTTTTACTTACCAAAAGGCTCAATCTTGTATACTAAACCCTTGTAGAGATTTAAAACACTTATTACATGTTTCCTTGTTATATCTGGATTTTGATACTAAAAGGCAATGTTTTTTTATATTACGAGTTCTCATAATATCATCGTTACAAGATCATTAACACGCAACGATAATCAAACGAAACTTGGTTAGGATCTATGCGTACCTTGGATAACCCTTGTCTAATTCTCCCCTCATCTAGCGGTGTCATCTTCACCATTTAGCGTAGTTAAGTTGAGATAATGACAGGCCGTGCTATCTCCCTATCAGATGCACCTAATCGCGTCAGAATGATTTTTTTTTACGCGTACTTTAACGGAGTACTTTAACAGTATGCAGTACAATTGTCGTGCTTACTTTACTATCGACCGACTCAAAAGAATCTTAATACGCACGATGAGATCATCAAGGCAATTGAACGTCCGATAATCTGTCACACGCGAAATGTCATTGCAAACCATCATAGACCCATGAATAATTTAAGAATTCTTGTTCAATCATCGATGATGAAAGTCACTAAGAAATCATAACCTTCTCAAGTCAACATCTCGACCAATCGCAACCAAGAGTTTAAGATGGCGATCTTGCTTTTTTTCGAGTTCTCATCTGTGATTGGTCGAGCCACTTGTTGTCAATTCGCCATTATATCATTTCAGGCTAAAATGAATTCAATAATACATGAATATTTACATGATAATTATTGAATTAAAGTTATTTTTAATTAATTAACTGAATTAATTCACTCATAAATTTGGTTCTTAATTTAATTCAGATTCTTACTCGAAAAATTCTAGAGTTAGAGCTACATTTTTGTAATGTTAAATAATTATATTTATAATACTCTTGTTCCATACTTTATAGTTTGAATGAAAATAATTTTTCACTTGAATATATTATAAATATTTATCAACGTATAGATCAAAAAGTTACTCAAAGTCATTCTACCGTTATGTTTCTCTGTGTGCCACCTATGCATATGTGGATGTAGTATGTAATACGCACTTGGCAAATACCGGTTTGCGAGAGGTATAAATATTCGCGAAAATATATTCTGACACAATGCAATAAACATATGACTATCGTTATTTCTTAAGTATTAATTCTCTGTTTTATATCGTCGAGATACCATCGCTTTCAAATTATTGTTTTAGGATAGACAAATCCATAATTTTGTAGGATTTTGTACTTTGAATACTTTCCCAATGAAAAATTTACACAAAATCATTTTTGGATCCGCATGATTTTCTGCTATATAAATACATTGAAGATTAAATTAGATTTATGCTTTCTTCCGAAAAGTTACTTATGATTTTCATGTTTTTCTGAAGCCTTTCCGCTTTCCTATTTCAGATCCCGAATTTTTCCAGTGAAACTCAAATTCTACTTTCCATAGAAAAAGATAACAAAAATACTAAATACCTTCGGCTTTGACAATGGATCCTTTATCAATGTCATTCCTTAACACATTCCTCAAACACCCAGTATATCAATATATATGGTAGGTTCGAAATAGCAGACATCTCCCGAGCGAGGAGGTTATTGTGGAAGACAAGTGTACGTGACAGACATTACTTCTTTGGTTTTTCTGTGAAGAATCCAGAGAACGCGTGTAATCAGAGTATCTGCATTTGTAATCTGCTAACGATTCTAAGATCTTTAATTGGGACGAAGAAGACAGAGTTTCAACGCGACGACGAGGCAATGTGGTCGCGACGTGCATTTGTTAGCTGCAATCTTGAAGAAGGCTAAGTGTTAGAAATCATGTAATTATATTCAAGTTATTCATTTTATGAATGATGAATTTGTCGACCGATTCATAGCGATTAAGATTTACATAATTTTGGTACTACATTGTTAACTACACAATATTGTTAACTACACAATAATAAAATTGAGAGCTGATTAAATTATTAAAATTATTTTTGGAGCATTGCGTTTATGTCTAATTGCCTTGTTATAGAAAGCGACAACTATATACAAACATGTATTTATTGAGATAATGATTAGAAAATAACTGCAGATGATAAGAATCTCCTCTATCTTTGATATAAAATGTTTATAAAATGTTTGCACTTAGAATTTTTATATAAAATAAGTGATACAGTTAACTCATCTACTGTTTCCTTTAGATTGATATATTTTTACTTTCCGAGACCAATGGATACAATCATGTAGAGACTAGAGCTAGAAGAATTCAACTCAGAAGAGGAGAAGATGACGCCACATTTTACAACACTGACTCCAGTACGAAAGCGATGTCTGATTGTGCTATTGCTAGTTCTGGTTCCATGTGCAATTCTAAATCTATTGACGCCGTCGGACATGCGAGAGGAAGCTATACTGCAGAACAGCATTGCCGAGTTGCAAGCCAAGTTGGAGCATTTGCATGCCAAATATATTGGCAGCCAGGAGGAAATAAACTTGCTGTCACATCAATTGCTACAACTAATCGAGAACACTCATATTCTGCCCGATTTACAATTGCTCATCAACAATGGCACCTCCAATGTCACTAATATCAAGTTACCTTCAATCTACAATTTTTTGCCTCACTTTCTCAATGATCCAAATAGCCTGCGTCCTGCGTTTGTGCAGAGTAAGGGTAGATCAGGAGTAAGCATGGTACTGGGAGTACCAACGGTAAAACGTGAGGTCCAGTCTTATCTTATGGCAACCTTGAAAAAATCTATTGGATCGTATGAATGCTGCAGAGACTGCTGATACTCTAATTATTGTTTTAGTGGCAGAAGTGAGTAATTACCAATTACTAATTAGAAGAGAAGCATGGACGTCATTTATATTTTCGAGGTATTAAATTGATAAATTGATGATATGAATACATTTTTTTTTTTCTTTACAGACAGACATTGAATATGTGACATATGTTGCAAAACAAATTGAAGTTCAGTAAGTTTATCAATTTATATCACCCTATTTATATCACCTTATATTTTATATTTTATATCAATATAAATTTTTTTATAATAATAATAATCTTGCTTTAGATTTCCAAATGAATGTGAAGCTGGCGTAATCGATGTGATATCACCATCATTATCCTATTATCCGGATTTATCAAAATTGCGCGATACTCTCGGCGATGATCATCAACGTGTCGTGTGGCGGTCCAAACAGAATCTAGATTTTGCTTTTCTCATGTCTTATGCTCAGACCAAAGGCACATTTTACGTGCAATTAGAAGATGATATTTTGGCCAAAAAGAATTTTATAACTACGATGAAATCCTTTGCACTACAAAAGATTGGCACAAAGGAAAATTGGTTTGTTCTCGATTTCTGTCAACTCGGTTTTATCGGTATGGCATCATTACACAATGTATATACAATGATGATACATATATCGAAGAAATTATTTTTAATTTTGTTAATACTATAGGAAAATTGTTCAAATGTGTGGAACTTCCCTGGTTGATTCAATTCTTTTGATGTTTCATAATGATAAGCCTGTTGATTGGTTATTAGATCATTTGATATCAACAAAAGTTTGCAGTCTTGATAAAGATAGTGTGAGTGTTGATAAAGATGGAAATAGATATCTAATAAAATATATTGATTTTTCAAGGAAATCCATTTTTATTCCAATAGAAACATTGCAAAATGGCAAAAGCAGAGTTGTGGGTGCATTACAAACCTTCTCTCTTCCAACATATAGGAACGCACTCCTCCTTAAAGGGAAAGGTACAAAAACTCAAGGTAATATTAAATGCTTTAAATATTATTGAAAGTTAAGAAAAGATATGATTACAATGATACAAACTAATGTTTTAAATTATGTTTATTTAGGACAAGCAATTTGGCAAGATAACGCTATTTTACGCCCATGAAAATCCCGAGGCAATTGTGGAAACTCAAATAAAGCCTTATAAACAATATACGCTTCAAAAAGCATACAAAGGCGAATCATTTTTCTGGGGCTTGCTACCTCAATCAGGAGACCACTTAAAGTTTAAGTTTTCACATCCTATTTTTATAAAGAAGTAAGTTACCGTTAAAATAACCTATCGATTCTTTTATTTGAAAATAGTTATTTTATTATTTTATATAGGTACTTATTCAGGAGTGGAAATCCTGAACACCCATCTGATAGATTTTACAATACAACGGTGGAAGTATTGTCTGAGATGTCTCCGTTGTTAGATAGAAATAGTAATGATGTGACGGAAGATGGCTATATTGTAATAGGTAATAAAAAAAGAATTCTACCCTTATACAATTTAACAATTCGAAAGATTATTAAAAAATGTATCATTAATTAGGCAAGTTTGATGTACTTGGAGTTGCCGAAGGAATTGTAGATCGAAGATTGGGCAAAATATCAGTCCTCCGTTTAACTATACATAGTGAGAGTGAGAACTGGGCTATTCTATCTGAGGTAAAAATTCTTAATAATAAATTAAGATTATAATATTAATTCTCTTTTCTATTCTAAAACTGTAATTTCTTATTTAGATTCACATAGTAGAAGATCAACCTAGCTGACTAAAAGATGAGAATTCTCGAGTATTATTTCGGTATCACTTGCACGGTTAGCGTAAGCGACTGATTTTATAAATGTTTATTAATAATTTATATGTATTTTTTTTTATTTTGCTATCATGTTATACATTGAATGAATCAGTTATTAATTCAATACCGTCCAAATCAATCTATTACAAAGAAATGAATGATCGAGCATTTTGTATATTTTTTTTAAATATATGTGGCGTTTGCTAAAGTGTAAAAATAATGGGATGGTAATATAATGAAATTGTCTCTGATATTCACGCTTTTGTTTACACGAATGTTTACTGGGTGTTGTACAATGGCACGTTGTTAAGTCTGAAATAGCATAAATGTTTCTTGCTTTTTATAAGATCGTGCTTTAAGTTTGAGGATTTAATTAAACTGTACCTGCATTGTTCGCGCGTTTCGATATTCTTATTCTTAATATTCACTACTAATTTATTCGCGCGTAAAGTTTATGGTTCACGTAAGTGTGATTCTTCAATTTGCATTGCTATAATAGGAATAAATCATTATCATTATCAAACGTGCGATGCAAGAATGTCGATTGAAGTGTTTATCTGATGAACAAACGGTGATATAAAAAGTATATTCTTCTAATGTACAAACAATTATTTATTTCGCGTAGCTTTCTTTATATGTATATATATACTTTGTCTGTATTCCTATATATATAAAACAATGATAATAAAAATATATTTTTGTGACAAAACATTGTGTATCGATGATATATTATATTTTTTATCTTATTATCTGTACAATATAATCAGATTCATAATTGAAAATATATAAATATATACTAAAAAAGAATAATCTTATATATTTAGAATGTTTAATCTGAGAAGAGACCTAGATAAGTAGAGACTATTCATTCTGAAAATAATGCTTCACTCAAATATCTAGTTTACGTTCTCAGGGTAACCAACGCTCTGTACGGTTTGGGACCAGCGGTGGCACCATCTACAAATTCTTGCGTGGATGGTCGTGGTTCACCAGGCACCACTGAAAAGGTGAATGCTTGTAGCAATGTAGCCGTTATAATGAAAATGTTACTTCTGGCTAATGTCTCCCCCATACAACGGTGTCTGCCTGTAAAATGTGAATAATTTAAATTAATTAGAAATGAATTTAAAAATATGTTTAGATTTATAATTAAAATAATTTGATATATACACAAAGAAAAAAATAAATATACCAAAGCTGAAAGGAAAATATTTTTCTGGTGTAACAATATTGCCGTCGTCGTCGAGGAATCTCTCCGGTTGAAAATCTTCCGGATTATCCCAGGTTTCATCCATGAGTATTGTATTGTAATTCACAATGAGCATTGTGTCCTAAAAAAGACAAGGTACATATTCACACATACATTCATTTGTTTTATATATATTATAAAATCTTGATGAAAATGTTTGATCTTTTATAATATGACCTTTGGTATCTTGTAGCCCGCGATAGAAGTATCTCTCAAAGCTCTATGTGGAACATTTAAAGTGCGGCCAACAAACATTCGTATGGATTCCAGAACGATAGCGTGAAGATATGGCATACTAAGAAATAAAGACATAGGTAATTAATATTTCAAATGAAATATTCAAGTGAAATAATGAAATCTTGTTTGCGAGTGTAATTCTTCCGCGTTTCCACGATTATGTGAAAGTGATTAGTCTTGGTATTTACCTTGGTTTGTCGGCTAATGTTGGAAATCTGTCACGGCCAATAACTCTATCTATTTCTTCGTGTGCCTTCTTCTGAACATGTGGAAATAATATTAGATTTAAAAATCCGAAACCGAGTACTTTTGAAGTTGTTTCGGAACCTGCTATGAAGAGATCTACACAGATTGCCAATAGCTGGGACTCTGAAATTATTTTCTAATTATATAAAATCTATTATATATAATAGAATAGAACACAATAGAATAATGCTACTTGTAAGCTTTTACGTACCTGAAAATGTATCGGTGCAGTTTTTCGAATTTAACACAGTTAGATAGACATCCATTAAATCTCGCGGTAAATTTGGTATATATGTATTTTTATGATTGTATAATTCTTCCTAAAATAAGATTATTAAATTATTAAATAATCTCAATTATTATTATTATTGAATCTAGATACCTGTTCGCAAAACAATGTAATTATTTAATGTAATATGTAGCGATATAATATATTGATATAATAATACAAAGTTTACTCACTTTTAAAAATGTCCATAATTCTCGATGCGTTTCTACAAATGCCTTATAACCGGACATTTCTGGCGCGATAAAACGTAGGAATGGGAAATGACCGAAAATTGCACCGATCATATCGATTTCTTTCAGAAGCTTTGTAAGGATTCGTTGTAAATGAATAAGTTCCTTGTCACCAGTATCATATCTGTGAAAATCAGATTATTTACATTAAATCGAAATTAACTGTTCATATGTGCATTAAATTGTACATTTTACAGAAAACTTGGAATAATTCGCATAATCGATGCGGACCTTTTACCAGCCATCATCCTCCAAAGAGTGTTTAGTACGGTCACACCAAAGGCATCATGCATAGGTATTATCATTCCAGCAGATTGGGAAACTTTTCTGACTTCAGCATAATTTTCGGCCTTTACGTACATGTCCGCCACTGTACGAGGTTTACGATTGAGTTTATTATCATTGATTTTATTAAACTCATTATGCAACTTTGATTTACTGAGATTATTTTTCGGATTTTTCTGAAGCTTGTATATTTGGCCGATATTGTTGTTATTCATCGTTGTTTTTCGGATGTCAGTATCATAATTATAGCTATTTTGAAGGAGTTTCTTAAAATGTTCCATCAGCTTTAACGCTTCGTCCTCGATGATTGTGGCCATACTGGTCCGGCCAAAACCAAATTCTCGTAAGTGTCGCAACACGAATCGCCGTTGCTCTATCCATAATTTGCCATCCACCACAATGAGACCTGATCATAAATTATTATCTAATTATTTTTCAAGATTTAACAAGTTTCATATCTTATTTATTTTTTTTGACAAATAATTACCTAATCTGCGGCCCCAAGTTCTGGCTTTGTAAAATGGTCCGTTCGGCCTGCCGTCACAATCTGGGTTATTCAGCATCGCCTGTATACTTTCCAAGTCATTTAGAACAACGATGCGGTCTGTACCGATCTTTAGGCCCACAATAGAACCGTATTTCTTGCAGAGTGCCGAACAAGTCTTGACGAGATATCCGGTCTCTTGACGAATACGCGCTATCTCCAGTAAAGAACCCAGAATGGGCCACCATCTTGGACCTATTATAATAATAAAGAATATTAACGATTAATAAAAAAAGAAATAATAAGCAATAACAAAGAAGCTTTTTAAATATCATTTACCTGGTGGATATCCTTTTGGTTTTTGACAGTCTAAATATAACAACAGCAATATAATTATCAGCAACAACATCGCTGTGGTGAGCATTTTATAAATCTAGTCTATAACATATTAAGAACATATTAAGAACATATTGTTACATCCAGACCTCGGAATTATTATTTAAAGGTTGAAAGGATGGGGCAAAGAAGGATGCACCGAATATCCTCTCGCAGGTGACCGCTCTGGAGCGTGCCTGCGAGTCGAACGCACCGTACAGGTCAGCCGATATGAGTCAACGTCTTGAAAAAGACGCTACGACTCCGACTGCGTGACGTCCGTCGGTCTGTTAATTTAGACAAGAGAATTTAATCTCTTTTACTTGGGATAGGACCATATGCGATCCCCGAGAGCGGGCGAGAACGAGCGTGACGAGAGGGTTAAATTACGAATGAATAAATTGATTTATTATTAAAGTAAACATTTAATTAATTAATGTGAAACGAACAAAATACAAAATTAAAACACAAGATACTTAAACATAAAGAAGAAATGGTATGCAGTAAGTAGTAATTACTCGGTAGATAATGGTAATGGTTAATATCCTTAATAGGCGCATGAGAGTGGAAAAGAATAAAATTGCATGTAAGTGTAGCACGCGGGTGTTACAAAAGTGCGGAGGTCGTCGGGCATGGCAGTTCGGGGTAAGACTCTACGTTAAAATATTTATAGCCATGCCCGGTTTTTACAATATAAATGAATAAAAAGAATAGAATAATTTAAATAAACATTTATGTAAGTGTAAAAGTGTTAAACCTTAAGCACGGTAGGCTCAGAAAGGTAAGTAAGGGGGGAAGAGAGCAAGAGGAAACGTTCGGTATTTAAGTGGTGATGGGTAGATTACAAATCATATTAATCCGACTATTAATGCGACTTATTATTGTGATGATTACAAAGAAATGTCGTTGCAGGTGGATCGACTAAAGACAAAGCGGGAGTCGGGACCAGCGGCCAGCGGTTGGTTCTCTGCAGGGTGCTCCTGGGGTTCCGCATTGAGATCGAAGACAACAGAAGCGCACGAAAAAGGAACACTCCCGTTCGGAATAAAATAAAGTGATATTTGAATGAAATTACAAACTTCCCGTATGGAAAGGAACTATTGAGAACTATTGAGAACTATTGAGAACTATTCAGATTTCTATAATTATCATTCAATTTCTGTAGTAACTTGAGTAGTAACTATGGCGATTACATGTATGTAGTAATTGAATAGCTATTCATGCATGTAATCGTCAATAGTTACTATTCAAGTTACTATAGAAATTGAATGGTAACTATAGAAATCTGAATAATTCTGAATAATTTTCAATAATTCCTTTCCATACGGGGGTGTAAAGAAAATGCTATTGTTTTTTAAAAAAAACATATATTTGCATATTACGAATTGCATAATTCTTTTTTAAAAACAACTATATGTTTTCTATGCACTAATTTATTTATCTTATTTTATGCCTAAAAGTATTCAGATATAACAGCAAAGACTGAATAGTTTATGAGATATTTTATATTTTATGTTGAAATGTGCAAGAGTAAAGTGTAAAGTTATTATTTTTTTGACAATTTTATCTTAATACTTTTATATGCAAAATAATCGGAGAAATCACGTATTGATTTTTTTCGAAAATTAATTTTATCCTTATTTGTCTCCCTTCAAAACGTATATCTTTTATTTCAAACGCTTTTCTTCAATAATTTTCTTCAATAATTTCAATAATTTTCGAAAAATCTCAATCCGTCATTTAAAATAAGACATCCTGTACATTCATAACATTATTTTAAAAAATACAATTTAAAAAGATTACTAATCAAGATATCCAGAGTAACTGGCATATCATTCAATACTAATATCAGATTTCCACGATTTTTCACGAAAATCGCGAATTAGTAACTTGTAGTTATTTGTTTTAATAGAATAGCAAATTACTCATTCTAATAATAAATCCTTATAATTACTATTCGCTCCAATAGTAAACTAGTTATAATTTTTAATAGTAATGAATAGTAAATGCTTATAGTAACTATTCATTCAATAGTAAACTATTCATGTTTCCAATAGTAATGTCTCATAATACTACACAAAATTGCAATAGTTTTCTGAATAGTTATATTTTTCAATAGTTCTCAATAATTCCTTTCCACATGGATTATTTAATTTATCCAATTTTAAAGTTTAAATAATTAAATCTGCGGTACTTCGGCGCGAATCAATAAAGATTAAACCGAGAAATTAAAAAGCGAATGCGAACGCGAATGAACGCGAAGACACACGAATGTCCGTAAAAAGATTTAAGTTTGCTCGTGATAAATTGATGGATCAGAGCGCGTGAAGACTGCTGGTCAAAAAATAAGTGTGTTTCTTCCGGGGAGGATCTTAATAAAAAG